AAAACAACAAAAAACTCACACATTTCTTGAATGATGAAAACACAATTCAAGCTTTAAAAATGATGTTTGATGTTATATTAAAACTCAGTTTAAATATAAAAAGGTACAGTTAATAAAGTATAATGTGTTCTTATAATATATGTGTCGTTTAAGAAGCGTGTATTAATAATCCTGGCAACGGGTTATACTGGATTAGAGGTTTGTGAGAGTACTGATCAATGGAAGTAACCGCAAAAGGAGTTTGTTCTGATTGAAACTGTTAATTCATAAGCTATTGTTAGAAAAAAATATGGACAAAATTAATTTTTATGATTTCTTTTTTACTGAGGTAAACCATTTAAAACATCCTAGAACATGATACAATATGCAAGAAAGACATTTGGCATGTGTTTGCGTTTCAGGTCTGAATATCCGTCCTTCGTTACCGCCCAATGTGCGGGTACACTCGGGACGGATACTCCGATCCGTACCGCAACATATGACAGATATTATTATAATTCTTATTTAGTATACCCTTTTCATGTGGTAACTTTGTTCTACGTCTGCTTTTACAAAGAACGATATTTAAATTTGAGAACGTTATAAATATTTTAGTGTGTTCCGAGTATAATGACATACACATACGTTTATATTGTTATTGCATCGCTTGTTACTACGTAATGTAAAATAAACCCTAATGCTAGTTGGTGTTTTAATAAATATCAATATTACGGAGACTTTTGCTGTCCTGTTTGATCTAATAAATATTTAATTTTATGAAAAAAAAATGAAAAAAAATAAACACACACAAAAAAGCAACAACAACAAAACGTTAATGCGCACTCCTGTGTCTATCAGGTAAAATATGCTTTTGAAAAGTCCCATTGTTTGGTATGTGATGTTGGTTTTGTTGATATCTTCTTTGATACTGTATCATGTAACTGGAAAGTAAGTACAATTAAGAAAAAGCATGATAACAATTGAAGCTATATTTACGTATACAAATTACGTAAACATGTAACAGGGTCGTATTTTCGTATTTTTAAGATTTGGTGTAAGGGACAAAACTCTTGTTTACTGTTGAATTTCATAATTTTGCAAAGGGAGACAAATCGGCCGGTTATTATACAGCGTATGCAGTAGGTCAGCTTTTGGTAATAACGTCACCGATATACTAGAGAACGCTGTCTTTAAACAAATGTTAAAAGATATGACCCTAGATAAAACGAATACAGCCGTTAGCAGACGACATCGGATGAGCATAAATAACGATCACCGTTGGTCTGTAAGAGCTACTGGAGTTATTGGCCTGCTAATTATTGGTGTTGTTATGGGTTTGATGGTATTGAGTGACTAAACTAAGCTTAGTGGTTGTCAATGTTATTGTTTGTGCAAATGTTGTAAACGAATATCTCGCACGTCTAAAGATAAAAATTTTAAAATGTTGAACAAAAAACCGCAAACTTCAAGCCAATGCTAAAAAAGATGCAAACAGTATTTCTTAAAGATTTTAGTATTGAAATATAAAGGTCATATTGGCCGTCCTCATCGAAATCACCACGGTATTTTGAGACAGGATGAAAGTAATTTTTATATGCTACAGACAATTTTTCGCTGGTTAAAATTTGTCGCCGGTACTTGTTTGTTCGTTCTTTCTTCTTCCGCAATTACTGTTCTCTCAGTTACTGTTACTAATTTGATACTTGTTGTTCTCATCGCTATGATCTGAATGATATTCAAGTTTGTAATTCATTAAGTTAATATTTTATTGTATATTTTGTACATAATAAATTAACACAATCTAACATCATTATACAATGTACATACAGAAAAGATGGACCAAAGGTTATACCAAAATTATCTAGGGAGCTTCCTTTCTAGATTTTATTTGAAACTGTAAGCACAGAATAGTTTCGAAAATGTTGTTTTTTTCCATTTTCTTAGTTTCTTTCTTATCCCACGTTAAACGTTCAACGCACATAACTGCAAGCGAAAATACAAACAATAAATATCCTCTCCATTAACATGCACTGATCTAAAAAGCAATGCCTCATTTCGACGAATGAAGATCCCCAATCATGAAATTGTAAACAACGTAATTGCTCCGCGCCCACAGGCGCGGAGCTATTTGTGTTTACTATTTTTTTGTCCATGGGCCCGGATTTGATCAATTAATCCCTTCGATTTACAGCTAAAAATAAATCCGCATTCAAAAACTCCTTTCGATTTCTATATTGGTTTCCCCTTCGGTGATTCGCAGCATGTCATATTAATGAATAAGGTCCGGAAAGCAGTTCTGCTGTACATGAATTCGAAAGCTATAAATAGATATAAATGTTCTGATTTTTGACACTTAGGTTATTAATTTGTTATTTCCCTTTTTTAGTAGTACATGAAATTATAATTTGTTACATTTTGAATTACATTTACACACAGCATATCAAGTATACTATTAGTGATTGAATTTGTCAATATAATGAAGATTTCATGCATAAGACTTTAATAATTTTGCTTTTGATAATTATTCTTAGTTTACATTTATGAAATTAAATGTTTAATAATAACATGTTGATATATTGGTTGTTTTGAAATAATTAAACTTTAGTATATATTGGCATCATTGGTATTGCATACCACTGCGTGTGTGCTTCAAAATTAACTCTGTTAGGGTATGATTGGTGACATGTCCGGGTCCAATAACATGTCCGGGGCCCGTACTCGACAGCGAAAGCTGTATTTTGTGGCCTTACGAGCGGATGGACCCTCATTAAGCATAGGCTATAGATAGATAGATAGCATCATTGATAACAGAAACTCTGATCTGCAGTTTGAACAGGAATTGTTATGTTTTTTATGAATGGTTTTAAAGCGATTCAACAAAAAAGTATATTGATCTCCCAATAAATCAATTAACAATAGCTTTTATTTTATATATCACCAATGTCAAATAGCTTTTATATCTTTGACTCGCACGAACATGATGACATGATGATGTTAGTGAATTTCCTCATACCTGCCTAAAATTCAGGTAACAGTCTTCTATCATATTGATGAATACTGTATCAGCATGTAACGCGTGTATAACAAACAAAAAAACCTGAATTTGGTCTTTTTGAAATTCATCCGCTTTTTTTCATTCCAGAGTGTGTTCTACTTTCAGTATTGAAACCATTTTTTAAAATTTGACATGAAAAAATGCATGTAATATTACTATATTATTATATATGTCCCTTTTGTTACTATTTGTATATTTGTTACAATTATAAAAATAAAAAAACAGACGTTGATATTTTATCATCTTATGTTACTAACTACAGTAGTGACACAAACAGAACACAGTACAGTCATGTCACATAACATTTTCAAGTCTTGTAAGTCTTGTTTGTATTCAATAGAATTACTTTCCTTACCAGGGAGGCATCAGTGAAAGCATTTTTTATATTAAATATCTTTCCCCTCTTTTTAATTATGGGCAGTGCATAAGATAAGTATAATTATGCATAAAAAGGGTTTACAAAACATTTGGAAAAAATCTACAATAGTATTAAATCTGAAATAACATGACCAATGCGTAGGAATAATTTGGTATGGTATCTGTAATGAGCGCATTTTTTGCGCGGAGCTTCTCAATTGATGCATTGCAGCAACATTTGTACTTGTCACCAAGAAGATATTGCCTCTCAACTCGCATTATTTGGTGTTAGTGCTACCATTAATTTTACTAGCTTACCATTTTTACTTGTCACTGTCGAATAATTTAACTCTTTTGAATGTGATGAAAACATGTTCTCCATTTATTGGAAAGAAAGTGTAAATATTATAGTCAGGTTTCATCATTTCGGACACCCACTGCCCATAGCAACCATTTTGTCACATGCATTGGAACATGTCTTAGTTTGTGTCACAGGAAACTTCATACAGTCGTCAATGGTAATAAGACCGGTAATACCGACCAATTTTATAATCTGATAATTCATAGATGTCTGGCGAAGGCCGACCATCGTCTATATAATAAAGATCCCGAAAGCGCACAACTTGTTGGGCTAATGCACATTATGCCCCAGGTTGATTTTATATCCAAGTATTTTTTTTAATTTTGATGTCCATTATAGTTTTCATTGTTTCAGTTACGTATTGGCCAATTAAAAATGAACCATACTTTGCTTCTTTAGTTCTTTCGCATAAAGTACAGTTATAGTTATTTAGTATTTTGTATGAAAGACAAAACACTTACATGACAAATAATTTCACATTAAGCACCACTTCCATCAGATGATAAGTCTAAAAATGCTCTAAAATAGAGAAAAAAGGAACCCCTATAAAACGCACAGAACGGCGAAAATGCAAGCTACCTATCATTTACACAGGTGCTCGTCCAGTCTTGGTGCCCATATAAAAAAATTGAAATTAAAAAAATAACAAAAAAAAAAGCAACTATTCGCGGTTGAGCGAAAGAAAGAAAAAATGATTTTTTCCCTATATACCATTACTATGAAAAGGTCGCCTAGTCGCCGTAACGCTATGGAGCTTTACTAGGACACGCTGTGGAACAACCACCATGTCGAGTTCTGTAACAATACAAGCTATTTTGCTACTCTTTACACATCATGCATTTAGAAAATTGCGAACATTCTTCTTCTACCCTATATACAACCTTAAATAACTTACATTTAAACTCGGACACTCCAAAAATGTTTCAGAATTACATTTTAATCAGTTTCTAGAATAAATCTTAGTCTGGTCGAGTGAACTGTGTGTCATTCAAATCATTTTTTTTCTTCATTAGAAACGAATATTCTTGAAAACCGATTGAGCGAACGATCTGAAATTTTGTACATTAGTAATGAAACAAAGAAAATTGAAAAATGTGCGTTTATTCTGACGTTTTTTGTTTTACAGAAATCCATGTGGTTCATTTTTAATCAATAATAATAACAATAATATTAACGATTACAAAATCTTTATTTCAAGAAGTAACTTAAAAACAAAACAAAACAACAAATACAACCCCACCCCCAAAGAAAAAGCCACACACAGAGAAAAACACACGATAAGCGTTTTAAAAAATGATTTCATCTGGCCAGAGTCTTCCTTCATATGTAATGTTCAGCTAGGAACATAAACGTATGGATGAAATGATTTCTAAAATATCACATTGTATAGCAAGACCTTATTAGAAAAAAGTTTATAAAAATGCAATATTATAAGAAAATTGATAAACAATGTTTAGATCAACAAATGTCGACATCAAAGTTTTATTTGAAGTTATATCTGAATAATTATCCTCCTGCGTTGCCATCATTTACAGGACTGGAATTTCTTTGTTGTCTAAGATGCTTCCACATAGATTGCACGTGCTCTTTTGTCAACTTGAATCGAACTGGTTCATTCTTGTACGGTACGAGGTCTACATCTGTCTCACTCAGGTCTTCATCTGTTATAATGTGTGCTGAAATATAGAAACATATACTTGTATATGAAAGATGAGTTGTTTTATGTGAATGAAAATAATATCTCGCTTAGAAAATGATGATAAGTGAAGTATTAAATTGTTATATTCATACATAATATATTTTAAATATTCCACTTCTTCCCGCCCTATTCCAACCAAAGCAAATATGCACATTAAAAATTATAACATGCTCATTAAAGAATTTTTACCGAATTTGAAAAGGAGTCCATTTTTGTCATGATCGAGGAGTATAAGATTGAACATTTACATATGTACACACATACTTTTAGACTTCTTAGGAAAAAAGAGCAATGAAATTCATAGCTACGGGAAACAATATAATGTTATAATCTTAGAAACACATGACAATAAATTACATGCCACTTTTATCCTACACCCGTGCACCTATAGCGACTCCGTAAAGATTTTATTGTCTCTTCACTCATTCAATATCCTCTTCATGTATAAATTAGCTGCCAAGGTAGTAGGGTAGCAAATGTTATAAGATTATACGCAGTTATCTATACAAGAAAAGGAGGAGCGGGCAAAAAATCTGCCATCATTTAAATAAAAACCAAGTTTCTTACCGCCTATCCAGAACGAATTGGCTTTAGAAACGGGATTAGAAAATATCCTAAAGTAATTAAAGGAACTGCTGGTTTGCTTATACACACTGCAATTGTAATTGATGAAGTATTTCTTCTTGTCAACTTTAAGCCAGGCAGGTTCTCCTATTATGAAGAAAAGGAAATTTAGTTATACCATAATTATGATTACATGTATGATATGAAAATAACTTTTAACAACAAAAAGATTTCAGAATGAATAAAAAGCAATCATGTGTTTTTCAAAGATTTCATTACATTTTATAAAAAAGAAAAGGATTTGAACTGAAGAAATAAAAAATTGCAAAGCTTACCCGAAGTTTTGGACAGAGCAAGAGTGTTTACTTTTGCTTTAAAATTTATTATTGGCTTTGTAGTGCTTCTTGATGTCGTATATGTTTGCTGTGTTGTAGTCGAGACTGACATATTTTTCACACACAACACTTGATGAAATTCATTTGTACTTGTATGCTCCATATGGAAATTCAAGGGTCCTTCGTAGTAAATCACATTGCCTAGTTCGCTTGTATTAAGGCATAAAACACCTGAAATATTTATACTAACATTGTCATTTAATTAAAAGGAGCATAAGTACCAGGTAACCCTGAGAAAAAGAATCAAACTCTTAAGACAGCTGTATTAATCTAGGAAATATGCATGTTTATCTTCAGCATACAGCAAATTAATAAAGTTGGATTTAATAAATTGTTCGTGATGTCTACTCACATACCTGAATTTTTTATCCAAAAACTGAGTTTCATTTTTCCTCTGAGGCCTAGCTTGAGTGCCAACTGCGCCCAAAAGGAATCATTTTGTCTAACAGGGCTAATATCAATGTTCCAGTCTGATTCGCAGATTTCCTTTGCTCTACAATATGGATGTTGAAACGATGACAATACATACGATTTACTTTCCTCGGGTAAATCCACAAATTCTGTAAAATAGTAGAACATAATTATATTAGTAATCTTTCGTAGAATACAAAAAGATAAACTGTTGACAATTTATTTAAGCCAACGACTGTTTCCTTTATTGTTGTATTTAATTTTTATTGATAAAGTAAAACAAATACAACAAGGTGCTGCATCTTATTTGTAAAAATAGTGCAATGGTTTAAACAAGTTTATATTTTTAACTATAAGGAAAGCACTTGTAAACTGCCTTTTATTAGTTTTTATGATTTGTAGTAAGGAGTTTCTAGAAATAATAAAGTTAAAAAACTTAAACGTACTGCTGGTTAATATTTTTCCTGTATTGTAACTTGTCGGCTGGCACAATGTTGTGTTTGTTATCTCGCAGAGACTATACATCGTTGACGAGCATAGCACATTACCATTTACTTGAACATTGTTTCCGGTAAAGACTATAGTCCGGCACGTCGGGTGACCATAAAAGTCTGCAATTATCACATTTACTCTCACCAAGAGTATATTTTAAACAAATGTTAATAAAAAACTTTTGTTTCATGCATTTTTATTATTTCGAAACTTGAAGACATGATGCCAAAATAGAAAAACATATTTTTAAATAGATCTGAAAACAATAATTCAATATATAACAGTTCAAACATACTCATATTTATCCAGTATGGTTCTTGATCTACTGTGCTAAGATGGCATGCTGACAGTACTGATGTTATTGTTTGACTGTCACTGGTCCCAAAGTCTGATTGCCTCGAAACGCCATTTATTATTCCATTACAGTATGATTTCTGGTCAACAAAACTCATTTTGTTTTTACCAAAGTTATAACATTTGCCATTGCACATCTGCCAGTTTGAATATGTAAGACCTAATAAAAGATATACAATACATGTACTTAAAAAAAAGAAAATGGTGTACTTTGAAAGCATTTCTGTATATATGTATCAATATATCTGTAATGTTCAATATTTCAAGCAGAATTATATTTTATCCCAAACATTTCCCAATTTCAACTGTTGATCAATAACCAGTATAACAGTTACTCTTTTGAAATATAAAGTAAGCTTGACAATGAAATCATTAGCATAATGTCACATTAAACCAAACGTTTCCAAAATCATCACCAAGATGTCACAAAACATTTAAGGTAGGAACGTTTCTAAGTGAATAACCATAATTATTCTGTGAGCCTTCTCGTCTTTCGCAAGCGCCGCGGGACGAAAATACGAGAACCTATGTACTATTATAATTCCTGTTTGTGTGTCGTCTTTTCGGGCTGTCGCGTTGACTGTTTCATGTAAGCGACAACGCGCCATGCGGTTATACGATCAGTATTAAAATTATGAAATAAAGCAATTCATGACATTTTTAACAGTTTCTTAAATTTCAGTATTGTACAACTTTATGCAGGTTGTTACATATACACAACAATGAACAACCAATAAAATTACTTCATCTTATGAAAATTATAATAGTTTAAAATAATTACTATTTAACGTAAATATCAATGTAAAAGCAACTAATTCCTGGATCCCTGCTGACATATTTTATGTGCTTTCCTTGTTTTCTTCACACAACACAAATATATACATGTGCAATTTTTAACACTTTTTATACATGAATTGTTTGTAAAATCAGATTTTTGTTTCAGATACTCGGCATGAGAGAAGAAATGTTATTATTTTATACTGTAGAAACTTAACGTTAATCACCATGAAACGTTTATCTCTGTCATGAATTGTAAAGTTTTGAGTAAAATGCGTTAATGGAAAGCAATTTTATTTCGTAATCAAATTTGCGACTTTATTTGTTCTTGATTTAATGATGTTAATGTCTAAAAGGCATTTTACCGAACACCATTTTTATAATGAATAAATGTGTTAAATATTGACAATAGAATGGTGTCAAATTTGTTACACTTCCTTTAAGTATTATCACTAATAATAAATTAAATATTTTGCAAAATAAGATAAACAGTTATTTTATTAATTTGGAAAATGAATAATTAGTGTTCAGCATTTTGGGTTGGGGAAGAAAAAACACAACAATAAACGACATGATTGGTCCCAAAAGAAGGAACTCTTATAATAAAATCACATGACATTAACAATATAAACCGACACTGTATTATAAGATTTATTTTGCAATATCCTGTTATTATGTGGTCATATGTCGTTTACATTACGCTCCCTTATCACGCCACAATTTCTTTTGTAAGTCAATATTTGACATTTTGAAATTACGTTAGAAAATCTATTGGGTGTTTCCGTAAGTTTAAAATTAATTTTTTGATTTTGATTTTTTATTTTGAAAAAAAATTGTATCTTGCCAGCTTCATTTATAACATTATTTATATATATTATTGACAATAAATTAACCATGGACGAAAAAATACACCCCCTAAAAAACCATAAAAAAACAAACCCACCAAACCACACACACACAGACACACACACGCACACACACACGTGCACGCACGCAGAAACACACACGCACACACACACACACACACACGCACACGCGCACGCGCACACACACACACACACACACACACACACACAACCTTTGAAATACGATTCATCCTAAAAAAATAGATAATGGAGTCATGACGATTATTTACTGTTAAACCATTTTTCACTAGTTCTCAAAAGTTTTCTTTATTATAATTAATTTTATATATAAACCATCATACAAAAATGACCCCTTTCAATCTTTAAGTCTTAAAATAGAAAAAGATGGGTCAAAGACAGAAAAGGCCGGGTTACATTTGTGTACCAAATTATTATGAGGTATGGGGCCATCCATGTTTATGTTGTATACAAAATATCAAGAGGCTGTGATAAGTAGTTGCTGGGAAAACTGTTACAAAAACTTCCTTTCATTGGCAATTACTGCCGAAAATTTAAATTTAACAAAGTCAGTAAAGAGGATGAGCGACATACCTGAAATCGAATCCCAAAGTATGGGACCACGTGTTAATGCTAGTACCAAATAACAAGAGGCTGTGCTGAGTAGTTGCTGAGAAAACTGTTACGAAAACTTCCTACCATTGACCATAAATGTCGAAAATTTAACTAAGTCGAATACAGGAAGTAGATGAGCGACAGACCTGAAATCGAATACCACGTAAGGGACTACATGTTATGCCGAGTACCCAATATCAAGTGGTTGTGATAAGTAGTTGCTGAAAAAAACTGTTACGAAAACTTCCTACCATTGATTGACCAATAATGTCAAAAATTTAACTAAGTCAGAAAACAAGGACTGGTTTTTGTGTTGCAGAGAACAATAGATACCCCGCTAACGAAACTGTATATGAGATGATAATTATTAAAATAAATGTCTAAAAGAATATCGATGAAGTCCTGCGAGCAGTTAAAAGTGTAAATCTCGCATGTCTGTAAAATGTAAAAGCAGAAGTAATTTTATTATTTGATATTTCATTTAATAAACCTTGAGCATGTCTCAAGCATGTGACTGTGACAGAACAAAATATGTATTCTTGTAGATGTAAACAGGATGTCGAAACGAAATTTATGACATACCCGTCCCGCTTTTGCGACTCTGCTGAAACTGAATCGCATGACCGTGAATATATTTTGACGCGACGTCAATTGCGTTATACAAACATAGTGTAAAGACGCCCTAAATCTTAGCGTTACATTATCGACGCATCGTTGAAAAATGATTCTTTTTCAATTTAAACACTCATTATTTTAAGTATGTGATAAAAAGAATATTATTTTTGTGTAGGCTAATAACTTAATTTATTGAACTCCTTTTAAAAGAAAATATTATGTATAAGTTTATTCAACTCGTTCAATAAATTCAAAGAAATTTAAAAATCTACACTCAGTAATATACTCATATCTCTATATTTCATAAATAGAATAAACATATTTATCGTATAAAATGAAATATGAAAGAGTGCGAAAGTCTGGAGGATATAAATACCCACCTTTGAGAAGAAACAAAGACAATGTATAATGTAAACTTTATAGAGCGTTCAGTTCACGCCAATCAGGTTGACATTGTCGGTCTATGATATATTGTACAGCAGCTGATATAAGTAAGGCTGTAATGATACACATCCAAAGGGCTAGTGAGAATTGCATCAAAACCAATCTAAAGCATTTAGTTTACTTTTTATCTGGTGGTCTCATAAATATTTTCCGTCATTATTGGGCACGATGAAATTCAACTTCAGGATAAGTATATTGGAAGCGTGTGAATGGGCAAGGAAATGGCAAATGATCTTTAACACAAAGGAATGTAAGACTAATGACAGTTTATGGAAGATAGATGTAGAGATAAAACAGAACAGTTGTATTTCTAAGCAAGCTACAATGTAGTATATAACTCACAGCAAGAATTTAATCTAAGAAACTTTGACCTTTAAACTATGTGCATTAGAAGTGTAAACTGGTGAGTTTTGAGTCAACCAATAACCAATCCGAACCTTTGTTGTGTCGCAGGTAAAATAAATAAACAAAGTTATCCGATTTTATACGAATACACTAATTTTCAGTACTTGCGAACAAACGATCGAAAATAATTTAGGCATAATTTTTATCTGACAAATGGATCAGTATAACTTTTAAATAAATTACCTGATTTTATCTTCAATTTGTAAATTTTTAAAGATAATGAACCGAGACGCAATTTTTATTTAGTTGCTGGAAGTAAAGCAAATTAATTTAGGTATATTAGCATCCATTTATAATAATATTAATATGTTGTGAAATGACATGTTTATTCGATAAATACTATTGTATATATTAGGTACCTTTAACTGTACTTTTAATAACAACTTCCGGTGCATTTGTCCCTGTTACAGTGTCCTTTGAAAACGACTGAGTTAGTTGTGTACTTGTGGTTGTCGGAGCTTGAGAACTTGTTGGTGAAAATAGAGTTTGTTGTTCAGAGGAGATTGTCGGAGATTGAATGCTCGTCGATGATGAATAAAGTTTTGGCGCAGTCCGGGTTTTTGATTTAGTGCTGCCATATGTTTGCTGTGTACTTAATCGTGTTTGAGCTGTCATGCCTTGTTTATCACTCATACAAAGTACACTATACTGATTCTGTGCACTTTTATTGGCTGCTATGTGCACATAAGGTCCAGAGTATTGCATAACAGTTCCCTCCTCATTTCCATTCGGGCACGAAACACCTTGAAAAACAATAATTATGATGCATTTAACGTACGTTCCAGATACAGTTAAATACGTGATGATTGGATCTAGAAAATATAGTATGGCTCGTATAAGAAATGCAGTTTATTCGAAAAAAAAAACCTTAAAAAAACAACAACAAAAAACAAAACAACACGGCCTTCCATTTTTGTATTTAAATTCCTTTACTCAAATAATTACCTGAACTGTGTAACCAAAATTCGACTTTCATCCGTCCCGTTATGCCAAGCTCTGTGCCCAAAAGTCCCATATAAGTGTAGTTTCCGCCAGGATATATTTGACTGTGCCATTTTTCACAAATATATTTAGCATAGCAATAAGTGTATTGGGAAGCAGATAGCATATAATAAAGACCTCGTCCGGCAATTTGTACCCAATCTGAAAATAATGTATCAAAATGGTAGGCATTCATAATGTCTCTTGATGTTAAGGATTAATTACAAAACAAAATTTGTCTTTGTAACTAATCGCAAATGATTTACATAAAATACAATACAAATGATTTACATAAAATACAATATTACAGCACATTGAAATGATACCAATGTACCAATGTAGAAACAAATTTGTTAAATAAATGTTATAACATTTAAATAAACTTTTCTTCTTCATTTACGACTGAAACAATATAGGCTCATAGAAGAGTAACATAAAAATATACTTTTTTATAATAATCTAATAATATCCTCACCATGTTTAAGCTCGTGACTAGTGTTCGATGCCCTGCAGAATGATTTCTCATTTTCGCAAATCGGATACCTCTTTGACGTACATTGTTCATTCTGGTTCAGTAAAACTGCATCCCCATCGAATGTCATTGTTCGGCAGAGTGGACCTGTGTTATGTAGCAAATTAAAGTAAAGCCATTATTCAGCTCCTTGATAATGCAATATTCAATAGTGAACAGAATGATATGTTATAAATAATTAAAATATGTGTCAAGATATGCCAATATATGTAAAGAAAATTTGGAATTTCAATGCTTGTGCGATAACCTCAATTAAGAAATAATATCGGCTTGAGCGGTGTTAATCGGCTTTTTACACCGGTTTTGGGTTTTGATGCGTAGGAATTGACCACGAAGGCCCTAGGCCTGAGTGGTTATTTCTTTCGCATCAAAACGACAAAACCGGTGTAAAATAGCCGGTAAATACCGCTCAAACCAATATTATTTCGATTCCAAGAAGATAAAATAAGGAAGATCACTAACGTTTTTTTTTTCAAGCGGAATTTCGTATAACGCTGTTATATTTCGAACCTTACTGTTACTAAGATATAGAAATACTTAAACAAAAGAAATAATAAGAAAAACGTGTTTTTTATTGAGTTTTCATCAGTGTTTGATAAATCAGTCTTGTATGTTTGAATTTACGTAATTCTAACGCGTTTATGAATGAGTTGTGAATGACATCATTATGCTGCTTACGGATTGGCGCCGTTTTGTCAAAATATTTATTAAGTGATATGGATCAAATCTGTGGCGTTAGTGCATGTGAGATAATATTTCAGTATCGTATGAAAAGAAAACATTATAAGAACTGAAAATATTACTAAAATGTTTTTTATTGTTGCTTAAAAAGGCTTTGTAAACTACATAATCGAGGGAGAAAACATAACAGTTGCATATACAAGTAGTCCCTAACCAGTTTTTATTAGCAGTATAACATCGTTTTTTCTTCTTTGTCTATAGTGACAATATTATCTGGTGTGTAAGAATGATGGTCATGGTGTTGATTCTAACAGCGACGACGACGACGCTGACGCCGGCAAGAACGATGATGATGATGACTTTGTCGACGACGATAATGATTTGATGATAAGAACGCCGATGACGACAATGATGATGATGCTTATGATGATGATGGTGACTATAATGATGATGTGTTAAAAACATAACAAAATCTACTCTTACTTTCTTTATTTATCCAATACGGTTCTTTGTCAGTTTTAACTATTCGGCATGGTTGGAAAAATGTTGCGATAGACTGTGCCGTTTTTGATCCTAAATCTACAGGTGAGCTTCCAGACATGGAATTACAAACCCCCCCCAGACTGTCAAAAGATACGTTGTTTTTACCAAAGAAGAAGCATTTGTCATTACATGGCTGCCAACCTGAACTCGATCCGCATTCTGAATAACAAAATGACAGTAATAAACCAATAAATTGTGTCACCACAGAGTATTAAAGTATATGACGTCAAATGAATAATTCTAACACTATCGGATTTTTTTTCTATATAAACAAAGAAGGCCCGAAGCGTGCATTATTCTTCAACAATGCACTCGCCGTTCTTATTACCTCCCTGTGTATTTTCACATTGAGGGCGCCATTTTGTTTAAAAAATCTGATAAATAAAAACTTTTTTGTCGAATTTTGTTGTGAAAGCTATCTAGAATGAAAGAAAATGGCTTAACTAAGAAAATGAATCTGAACACCAATATCTTTAATTCAGTCGTTAACGCTGTACAGACGTTTAAAGTGTTGTTTACGTGACGTCACAATGTAGCGCCAAACAGCACGTGCACAACAATCAAATCAAGAACGCTATTTTAATGTCGCAAACGAGTTAAGTTTTACACTTATTTCACTTAAATTGAATAATTTGTATTTCGCTTGAAAAATTATAGAGTAACATAAAATAAACAAACAAAGATTTATCAACGTTTTCAAAATTCGCTATTCTCAAAATGTTTCTACACACGGTAGATTTAATGACAGTTTTTTTTCAACCCACTGGAACAGCCTTTAAAGAACGTTTCTATTGGAAACTCTGAGGCGAAAACAAATTTATCCACCAAACATAAAGTCCAGCTTTATAATTATAATTATATTTTTTCTTGACGTGTTAGAATGGAAATAGATATCTATTCTTCATGCATTGTTGTATAATAATGCACGTTTTTCGTTCAAATGCTTTGTAATTAATCACTCAGGCCTATCGGCCTTCGTGATTATATTACTACGCATTTGAACTCAAACCGTGCATTATTCTACAACAATGCACTCAGAATTGATATCTATTTCCTAAATAACCCATGAATGTAATTCAAAGCAAAGCATTTAGTTCCCAATGTATCTGCAAATTAGGTTGAAAATTGGTTCGGGAATTAAAAAAAATCAAGCTTGACCTCTTTTATTTTGATATGCATTTTTTCTATGTACAATGTACCTATGATGACTAACTTAAAAAAAAAACAGAAAAAAAAAAGAAAATGTAATAGAAGATAAAAATAGAAACAAATAAGTAGATAAATAAAATATAATCCATTACTTAAGTGTTAATTGCGAAAAACGTTTGACTAACATATGCCAAGTAAAGAAAACATTTCTTCAGGATACAATGACTGTAATGTACAATGTCACAATAAATTTTATAAAGTCATGTGATTAATAGATGGTTAATTGAAGGAAAATCAATATTTTATAGAGAAATTAATTTGTACAATCTGCAACGTTAAAGTATGAAACATGACCTTTATAAATTCACTAAAATATTCTTTAAATCTTGTTCAAGGCTTTGATATTTTTCTGTCATTTGTAAAGTTTTAATATTTATTTTGCTATTTTCGAAAGGAACTCGAGAAACTGATAATAAAAACAGAAAAATGCAATTAATCAATCAATCAATCAATCAATCAAATAACGATAAAGATTGGTAGAAATGTTACCTCTCACTTTGATGAAAACAAAAATAATGTTAAATCCCAAAGTCACCGTTTTCATCATTTGCGTGCTTTGCGTCATCTGTTCAAATTATCTTGTAAAAATTGTAATTAAAGCAAACTCTATCAAAGGAAAATGTGATAACTTAACACAATGATCCTATGCTTTTATCCAAAACCCTAATTTTAATTCAACACCGAGATAATTTTTTAGACTCTGCAGGAGAGAAAAAATGAAATGCCTTTATACTATAGAAACGAGGGCGAAATAGTCACATGATCAGTTTTAACTTAACGCCTTAGAAACCGTTCATTGATGTGTCTAAGTATTTCAATATTACCATGTAGCGTATAACTCTGTAAAGATTTGTTAAGTTTTAAGTATAATATGTTACTGGAAAGCAAATGTCGTAATCAGTTCGTTTAACAGTTAAATTATGATTAATATGATTTAATTATGTTTATGGCTAAAAGGCATATTACTGACCAGGCCTTTTATACAGGGCTGGGAATCAAAACTGCGTCGTATCCTACAAAATGTAAACAAACGCCGCCATCTTGGAACGAAAAATGTATGTTTTTGTTAATAACTCTTTTTGTTGGAAATGACTGAAAACCAGATATATGTATTAACACGCTACACTATTTTCCGCTTCGTTCGGTATATGTTGCTTAGACAACTATTTTGTAAAACAAAAGTTATAGCGAACTTGCATCTCGAAGCGGAGCAGAATTTTTATGAAATTGTGTGGATACGACGCAGTTCATGTTGCTTTATCTATCGTTTCTCCTTCAAATCAATTATATACTCGTTTTCAGAGTTCACTATAAACTTCAAAACATAATTTTGCATCATTTACTAAATTTTCATTAAAAAGAGATGTTTATTTTCCAAGAAAAAAATGATTTTTACAAAATGATACGACGCAGTTGAAAATAAAATATGATACGACGCAGTTGTATTTTCATTGCATTCTATTAAGGCTGCATTTTTCGGTCGCATTTAAGTACCTATCATATTAAGCATCTACAAATTCCGAAAAGCTGTATCAAATGCAATATACATTGTGCAATAAACACGTGATCGCACACCCATATGACAACGTGTTCCAGTGTTGCCTTAGCATGCTTCTAAAATTGTTCCCGTGAGTTCGAAATGGGAGTGATTACTATTTTTGATACAAATTCAATATTCCAGAGTAACCTCTCCTGAACCCTGTACTAGTATTAATCAGGAATGACATTTTTTTTAAAAAAAAAGAGAGAAAGAATTACA